CTTTCTGCTGAGGAGCGCTGCAGAAGAGACACTGGTTATTTCGATTAGCCTCTCAGTCAGGACCCAGTGTGGGCTCACTGAACCATTTTCCATAGGCCCCAGAAAAACAATCACATCACAAAGTAATTACGTGCCTTCAGTCACTGCTCTCTGAGCCACATTAACAAATCATACCGGACGTTCAATGTCCAAAAAGTCCATCTGCTGAGCCTCTGGTCCTCTAGAAAGCTTCTCACCTCTCAGTGTTGTGAGCCACACACGTCAGCTAGAAGAGCAGCCTTCCTCAGACAACTGAGGAATCTACAGTCGGTAGATTTTGTGAATATATTCAATGGAACTTCCTAAAGTCATCGTTAAAGGCCATATCTTACACATATACTGAGGGATTTTAAACACCTACAAGAGTTTGCCCAGGACAGGACTCAGACGAAAGCTTGACAAGATTTTCCAAAAAGAGCCAGCCTGAGCACAATCAGGCAAGGAGGGATCTTCACACTAAGCTACCTCAAGCAGTGGTCAACCCAGGGACAGGGAAGATGAAGCTCACCTTTGTCAAAATCGCACAGGTATCCTGCCAGCATTGTATTATCTGGGGATCAGATCAGATCTCCGAATAACAAAAACAAGCTGGCACCTTTAGGTTTTGTTTGTTCAGGGTTTTCGATTTGTCAGGAGGAAGGAACATGGTTTGGCCAAATCGTCTCCTTGTTAATATGCTTACATTTGTGTGTTGAAATCATCCCCACTACACCCAGCAGGTGAAAAATGAACACCCTTGCACAGCAGCACGATGCGAAATCTGACTAGCATACTGAAACCGCTAGACATTTCAATTCTTTCCTGATAAATTTGTTCCTTCGATATTTTTGAAGTATGTTCCACATTTTCAATGTGATGCCTCAGTGAACATCCCTTTATTGAAAACGAGAGTAACGATATGATTCTGGTCACAAACAAATGGCCTGACAAAGTCCAAATATAGACAGTCAAGGCCCTGTTCTGCCTTCACATTCACAAAACTGTTTACAACAGAAGTGTTTCCCCTCTCCCATCCTCCCCATGCACCTCAGGGAATAATTGGCATTTAATTTATGAAACCTTTAGGTGCTCTTTGCTCTGATGTTGAAAGCTTTCTTCTTTTTCTGTTACCAATACTACTTGCTATTTATATAGCTCCTTAGAACCTGATGGCATTTTGCTCAGAAAAGGTGAGTAGCTCTATCTCCATTACGAGAAATGGAGGGAAAAAAGTGGGACATAGAAATATAAACTGACTTTCTCAAAGCTACTGGCCTCTGCAAGAAATACTAAGTTTCAGATATCCAGTCCACTGTGCTCTATGTATTGAAGTCACCCTGGGAGCTGCTAAGTGCATTGGAGATTGAATGCTGGTAATAAAAGAATGAAAGGAAAATAAGCTCTGCAACAACAACAACAAAAAAGCTAGAGAAAGTCTTAGAACAGAGTAGCTAAGCAAGTATTGAGAGATATGGCTGGCACATGGGCAAAGACACGGCTGGAGACACAGGCTGTACAACACAAGAGAAGATAACAGAAGGTGAGTGGAGGAACCCCAGTGGATAACGTAATCAGAATAACGAGACAGAAACTTTAGCTGCTCTGCAAAACCAAGCACTTGTAAATTAAGAGAAGACATGTATCAGAGTTTAGGTGAGGCATGACTGCCAACTTGAACTTGCAAGAACTGCAGACAGGAAAAATATTTTGATTTGTTGTAGAAAATAATATAAAAGTGAGAAGTATGTCTAGGGAAAGTTTCTCATTGTAAATAGAGGCACTCTAAAACACAAAGATTCCAAGCATAGATTTGTCAGAAGCATTTTAGTTCATTAAAATCTTGGCTCTTAGTTTTTTATTTTAAATTACTACTTATTAGCAACTTGCTAATAATAACTCAGCTAACACAAGCCTCAGATAAGCATGGATTCTACTTTATACTCCTCTATCTGGAAATCTCTGTTAAATTAGCATAGTGTTCTACAGCTTGAGAAATTGTCATGAAATAGCTAAAAGTAAGTGATAGAGCATTACTACCGAAATATTTCAAACAGGAACATAGCATATGCTACAAGGAGCAGAAGCAGAGTAAAAATACCACATTAGCTCTCTTCCATTAAATTAACCGTGAGCCACACACAAAAAGCTCTGTTACCCACAAATTTAATGAGACAAAGTGAATGTAACATCAGTTAAGATTTTCAGTTTTGTAGACCATGTTGAGAAAAACTATTCAGGTTTGTATGCTAAACAGATCTACAATGAGGTGTCTTGCTTGTCTATTCTCCATTTCATATTCCTAAATACCTCATTTGCAGCAATGTTCGTAAGGCTGCTTTCTTCTCTTTTGCTCCTTGGCTTGAAGAACCTCATCCCTGCTATCTTCCAAGAAGATATTGAGATATCACAATTGAGATATCACATCCAGCACTCCAGAAGGTGAGTTTCCATGTTCTCAGTGCTTCCTGCTGGCTTAGACTGTGATTTTTCAGACATGTTAAATCAGTAATAGCTTCTCCCTATGAAGGATCCCTTTTTTTTTCCAGATTCAGTATTGCGTCTTAGTGTCTTCAGCTGCAAGACTTCACTGTACGTGGACATTCTTTTCTGCTGTTGTTCACATAAGGAAATACTTCTCACAAACGCCTCTCAGTGTTTTATCAGATCTCAGATACATCTCCAGAACTCCAACAGTCTAGACACTGGTTCCATGCTTTATTCCAGCCTGATAAAATCTGCTGAGATGTTTCCCTTTCCTGTATACACTTACCATAGGCTAAAGCTGTCACCTGTTCTTAGCCAGTGTTGCAAATCATCTGGAAAAATGGCAGCAAATGATCATCTGTTTTCAAGTAGTGTTTTGTACTCCTCAGCACTGTGATATTATATACATTAGCTCAGAAGAAGTATCCTTCATTGCTCAGCATAATTTTAAGTAACACATTTTATTTGTCTGAGGAGATGAGGGTGCGTGTTAGCTACGTAGAAGTGGACTTCAGCCTGTTTAAGTGGCAAAACTGCTGCTGCCAAGGGCAAAGATACTACAGATAAGTGAAATTTACCTACTGCTTCCTGCTCCTTCCATTCCAACAACTCTAGTGCAAGCTGAATTTCACAAACAGATAATTAGGAATTATAAAAAAAATAATCTAGCCATAGAGACTATAGTTTTAATGCTACTCTAAAATCCTCTTTTGCTGCAAAATAGCCATTAGAAATTAACGCTGAGATAACTTTGCCTGGCATCGTTGAATCAAAATCAACACTGAAAGTTCTTGACCCTTACAGCTGTCCTTTTCTCTTTTCTTCCTTTCTTTCTTTGGGTTTTACATGCATAAATGGCATAACTAAACCGCTAAATCCAAGCCATGACTTCATTTCTTAGTTTCCCTGCGGTCAAAAAACTAGGACTAGAGCATTTTCTTCTGAGAGGCTGTTCAACAACCCTAAGTTAGAGGACGGGCCAATACTTTTAAAATCTCCTAACACCCCCCATGGCTTGACCAAAGGCCTTGGAAGAAATTTATGACAGCTAGTGTTGAGCCTGGCAGCCTGCAGAGCTCGTGAGATGTCTACTGGAATTTCACTTGCTTGAACCTGGTGGCTGAAGCACAGCACCAAGCAAGGCCAAGGGGCTGCAGTGGCCTCCAGAGCCCAGCAGCGGCCCCTCAGAGTGGCTGCGTCCTCTCTCAGCTGACCTTCAGGGGCAGCTGCATTTCACAACCCTCCATTAGCTAAAGCCCTACTACTCCGACTGTGTCTAGAATAGACCGATTTTTCTCCCAAGCTTTCCAGCGCCTGTTCAAATCAATGAGTCTTGTGTGAGTAGACTTCCCCCCCACCCTTATGCCAAAGCACTTTCAGAAACAGAATACAGTTGACTGTCTAAAACATCAGGTGGGATATTCATAATTTCATTTCCAGGCCTTTAAGATTACAAAGACTTCATACATAGGGAATGTTTGTTTTAATGCAACTGTTCCCCATTAGTTTAAACACACAAATTGGAAGCAAAAAAAAGCTTAATTACCATAGAGTGCTTAATTATAGTTGCATATAACATTTCGTATCTCAAGAAAATGAGCAATACCGGCGTTCCTACTTGAATGAACTCCTTCTAAACTTTAGAATATAAAATAATTATGAATATCACATATTTGCATATATATGATGTATTAAACACTGTATAATGGAAAAACAACAGGAACACTCCAGTTGCAGTGGAATTCAGTTTTGTGCTGTAAGCAAGGATTCTGCATCTGCACTGTTCACTGTAGAAAGAATAGTGAACTTCAAATGGCAGCAAATGGGAGAAAATTAGAAGGTCTACCCTTAATACTTATTAAAATATTGCTGTTCACAGAAAAAGAGGAGGATGAATTCAGAAGGTGTTCAGTTGGATGTTTAATTCTGTGAGTGTGAAGTAAGCAGCAGTGTTAAAAAGGCTGATAAAGTTCTTCCTGATTTTCAGGACCATTTTACACTACAAAGACCTGATTGGCTGTGCACCATGCTTTAATGGCCGTCTACGTAAAAAAATATTTTCAAAGGGTACCTGAATTTTCAGTCAGAAGACACGCACCCAGAGAGGAAAAGATTGACTCAGTAATATTCATCAACATTTTTCATATATTTTTAGCTCTTTCTGATGTCTGCAAAGATGGAAACAAATTTATTTCACACTCGAAAATTTGAAAAAATTTTCTTTACCTAAGGAATTGGATTATGACGGATATTGATTTCTAATTCTGTGAAAAAATACAACAACAGGCTCTTGAAGAAATTATAGAGTTCAGTAAACTGTAATTTTAAGGACCTCCTCTTCCCCTCAAAAAAGCCAGAAAAGAGTCAGATATAGTGCTTGCGCCTACAGTAAGAGTGTCTTTTAGCAAGAAAACACATTTCAGAAGTATCAATAAAAAAATCAGATGTTAAGGAATAAGCAAACAGGAAAAAAGATAACACTGGAAAAAAAGGATTACCTGCTAAAGCTGGGTTGCCGTATAGTTTCACGGCAGAGTTCTCTAGCTATTAGTTGCTCTATCACGAAATATGTACCTGCTGCAATAACAAAATTTAACACATTAATAAAAACAACTAATCAATATAGCAGCACCAGCAGTTGGCTATCTGCAAAGTTCAACACTTAATCATAATTAAATCAGGAATAACTGACAAATCCAAGTGTAAAAAATCATACAAACAATGGAACCAACCACCCTTTAATCATCAAATCGGTCAAGTCTGGCATTGACTTCAATTATTTCTATTTAAGTTCACTTGAAATAACAATTAATCCCCCATGTAGACCTTTTCCAATTATCAAATTAAGATTCAAGCTAAATCAATGAAAGCAAGATAGTTTAATTATATTAAACCACATGAAATATACAACGAGGAAGCATGTTCATGCAGATAGCCACTTGGGTGCCACACACAGAATAAATTAATAAAATAAAAATAGCAGTGTTTTTTCTTTCCCATGAAATATTATGTTGCTATCCGAGCAGCCAGTCTTGGTGGGTAGATAGGTATAAAGAAAATAGAGAATTTACAGCCTTGGATACAATTTATTTTCCTAGGGCACCAGGTGCTTTAAATACCACCAGAAGGATGCTCTAGGCAATGCCATGCTGTCCAACATGGCTTGGCGTAGATTAGCTCTAAGCCTTTGTGTCTTGCAGGCTTTGATTAAGGGCCAGTGTTAGAACTCCTATGGGCTTCTACTTGATCCAGTGCAGCACAGGGATTTTTTTTTCCATTAGAGCTGCCAAAAATATGCCAGTTAAGATAATTACATTTCAATTTAAATTGGTAATTTATTGGAAAATTTCAAACAAGGCAGAATATCATCTTGTGTTTCCAATCTTATTCCATAACAACACTTCTTTTGTTTCTTGTAGATGATTTAAGGGCCCAGTCCCATGTTTTTGGCTATCAGTAAGTCCAGAGAATTTTAGGACTCTTAGTACTTTTGCAGAATTGTCTCTTCAGTTTGTTTTAATTGATTTTTGAACAGCCTTACTAATACTTCTTCATACCAGACACTCTTTGTGTAATGAAGTAGAAAATACAGAGGACCTGCTTGGGTTTGCTCTTTGTTTTTTTTTTTTCAACTAGATAAAATTACTATGTCCACAGTTTTTGTTTTCTCTTTAACTACCTAGCTTATGATTATGAGTCATAACAAGCTGTAAGAAACAAATTCTTCCTAATGATACTTGCTCTATTTTGGGGAGAACAAGTAGAAGAACCCGAGAACTCAAGTGTCTGCCACTTTTTTGTTGTTTTTATTATTTGTTTCAGGGCTGACACAAAAGCCTGGCAGTTGCAACATACTGTCAGGGAAATCATTTTCCTTTGTTTAGAATGCAGCGTGTATGGTCATTTACATAATAAAAACCTCACACAAATAACAGATGGTGAAGAGGCAGTCATTTTGCCACATGTTGGAAGCATAGTACAGTTCCTCGCTGAACTAATTTCTCTTACTTTTGCCTACAGATGTCTACCAACTATTAAACCTCAGGGGTTAGTCAGCTGGTGAAAGGTTTAAAGACAGGCAAAAATCTGTCCACAAAATTTTCCTTCTTTGAGGAGAAGTAAATGTTTCACCCTGATAGAAATGTGCCATCAACTGAAAATGGTTTTCACTACCATGAAAAGTGGATAATCTCTATTTTTGACACTCATTGGGCTGAAATGGTTCACTATAAAAGATAATAAATACTATTATTCCACTGAGTCTGAAACATTTTTTCTCTTTTGGAATTCTTTTCAGAGCAGAAGTCAGGGACAGAAAGAACTATGCTAATGCTGTATATTAGGAATATCAGTTCTTGGATGCATTACCATTAATTCTATGTGCAAATTAAGTGCCAGAAAACAAACGTCTGTCATATGGAATAATAGCCTTACAGTCTGTGTACAGTACAATGAAATAAGATCACACTACACTCCCTAATTAGAGTTAATGGATCTGCTTCTGATGATTTTTACACCAATTTCATGATCATGTAATTCTCTCTGCTGTCTCCAGTGGAGCTGCTCTTGAGTAAGAAAGTTATGTTCAGAATCTGCCCCTTGCATGAAACTGAGACATATTTTAAAAAGTGGTTGGTTAAGTCTAAGTCTGATTTCTTAAATGCATATTTGTATGATGCTTTCAGAGCTGGACTGTGCTGCAGTATGGCAGCAGGGGGTGGGATGGGGTAGGACTATTGATCCAACTGTTTTGCTAATTTTATCTGACGTGGTATTTTGTACGTTTGCGTGGATAGAACAAACATTTAAAATTAACTAAGTACTGCAGTATCTGCAGAAACAGAGATGAAAGTTGAGTTTGTCAGTTACATCACAACTTCATTCTCATCATGTTAACACACTTTGATCTGTGCATATTAGCACATTAATGCTTATGAATGCTTTGAGCAGGCGTAGGTCCAGGTTATTTACCTTCCTGCATGAACTCCAGAAATCTGGTTTCTAGTTTGCCTCATTTTATGTTCAACAATGTATGCTTCTTCATATTTACCCACTCTGCTGATTGGAAGGGCAGCTCCCATTTCACAGGACACTATCATTCAACATAATGAATATTCTCATAGTTAACTTTGTTGATGGGCAAGCAGGTGAGAGAGAAGGCTTATAGTTGTAGGTCTGATGATTAGGTCTCCCATACTCAGAAAATCTTAGCTGTGCGCTGTAGTGCATGCACCAGGAATCTCTTGCGTCTAAGTGCTGCGGGCTTAGCGTGAACAGGAGCACCTGACATATTGTGCGCCAAGGTCAGCTCCGTGAGGAGAAGGCCAGGCTTCGGCATGGACAGGCAACGGTCTGCACGACAGGTACAGCAGTACTCACCCAGTCACCACACAGCAGGCTGAGCCTTCATTATGTCCCCATTTTGGAAATTCACATGTCTAGCAGCCCTAAATCACCAACCCTGGAGCAGCTGAGCTCAATACAGAACAGAGGTAACATACACAAAACTTTTCTAGGCAAGAAACTCTTCCGCTACTGAAACTTCCCATCCCACCCTCTATATTTATCATCATTCCAAGATTACCAGATTGTACGTTTCTGGCCGTTTCATATCTGCCCCTTAACATCTAAAGAAATACAAAGTCTATTAAATAGAGCTGTTAACTGGGCAGCGCTTTCTTCAGAAAGGTATACATTTATACAAGATCTCCTTGCTGTAAATATGAAAAAAGAAATCCTAAACCCAAACTGAGCCCAAAACTTAAAAATCTGCATCAAAAAAGAAAAGGCTACATCATGCATGACAGTACTGAGCTCTCATCTGAAATGCAAATCATCTCAACTATTTGCCCATGTATCTACTTATCACTCTGGAGAATGTGGCTACATTCATCCCTTACCATTAAGTCAATCAATCTGACTCAGGGGAGTGGGCTACCAAAGTGGGACACTCCTGCTTCTAGGATTTTCTGCACCACCATGCTGCCTGCAGAGGAGTTTCCCAGGAAATGTCCATCATCATGCTCCAGGAACTGCCACATTAAAAACGAGCTAACACAGCTCAGTGGTCATGCAAACAGTTGCTTTTTTGGATACATCAGAGCAACGTATCAGGCTGCTGGGTTTCAAAATCATTATGTCCCATGGGAATATCATGCACTAGCATTGGCCAGCTAATTTGAAATCACCGGTATGTCACGTCATAACAGAAAATCAAATGGAGCATTTTATTACCCTACCCAAAACCATACATTCGCAAGGTTACATAGAGGTGCAAGTACAAAAATGGAAAGAAATCCACACTTCATACATTTCACATGAAGGTCAAATCCAAAAGGCCCCTCTCGCCCTTACAGATGCTTTACCTAACACTGATGATGTCACCAGTAACCTATTGCTTATCCAGTTTTCACATGCCCAGCCAAAATTCACAGGAGAAAATCCTAAAGCAAGCATGCTGTCTCCAAACTTTCCCTTCCCCTTTTCTCCATCTACTCCTCCCAAATGATCATTGATAAAGACATTTAACCAAGACACCTGTAAACTGACAAATTTTTCTTTTTTCTCCCCCAAATAAGAGTGCTTAATGTTGCCAGCTCATCACTGGCTCTTGACTGAGTTCTACCACAGTGGTACATAAACCCTTTTGAAATAATTATTGACCTACCTTAGCTCCATCTTGCACAAATGCTTTAACAGTGGCATTTGAAATTACAAAGTTTAATAACAAAAAAGTCCTGCTTCTTTGTCGTTTTGTTTGTTGGGGCTGATAAATAGGCACTACACACTGCCACTAGGCTCAGGGCAATAATAAATTGTCTGTAGTACTCCTTTTTTGAATAGTCCATATTTAGTTGTCCTATTTTGAACTCACGCCTCCTCAACTATTAACTAGAAATATTCTATGCTCAGCCCAGTTCAACAGCAAAATAATCCTCTGTCAAATGATGAGCAAGATTACTATGGCTCAAGAAATCCTACTGAAATTTCTTCAGTTAGGAAGGTACTCTCTCTTTCCTTCTTGTCCCTTCCTTCTCTCCCTTCTCCTCCCTCAGATAACACAACCCCTTGATAATCCAGTATTGGGAAGTCCTGAGTAATGACATTGAGGTGATTTCACTAGAGAATTTCAGATAGGTTTTCAATTGTCTTCATCAGGATAGCCAACTTCTGACTGACAACAAAAATACATTATTTTCATTTCTGCTTGTTCTGCATTAACTAGAGCTCCATAGGTAGAGCTATCCACCACACCAGTACAGTTCTTAAGCACAATATGATTGTAAGATTACTAATGTTCATCAAACAAACAACACTAGGACTGCAGAGTTGATGCATAGTATTTTATACCTGCATGTCTTCTGATGATATAGCTAATACATAGGTTTAAATCAAAGCTCTACCACAGCTCTAACTAGATAAAATCAATATGCTTGAGTAATTCAAACTAAAAGCAGCCAAGATTTCTGATGGATGAATTTGGATTTCTTCAGATACATATTAAATAAATATCAGTAGCTTTTTCATAAACAAATCTCAGGAAATCTAAAATATTATGCATAGAACTGGAAACTGAA